CGACACTCGCACCTGGGAGACTCACCCTCAACCGTGATGACTTTAAAAGCCTTTTGTGAAAAGCAAATCTTTTAAATAAATATGTTTGTTTTCCCAAGCACCAAAATATTGTGTCACTATATTACGGTACCGAGAACTAGAGAATTCTTTTTAATAACTTAACGTACTGCATAACGCAAATCAATGTTACTTATTTGATTCACTGATGTACATGAAAGACAAAAATCGCGTCGTGAAATTTGGTGAAGACATAATCATGCCGAAGGACTAAACTTTTGGTGCGCTCTGCCTTGCGGTAGGGGGCTCTCATAATGCTTCACGAGTTTATTTAATCTTCGGACAAAACCGTGACCCGACTTTTGTCTTTGATTGTACACCTACGAATACCCAAGTGCTGGTGATTTAATACCTAAATACACCATTGATTACGTGGTGATATCACTCAAGAGGTATCAGAAATACATCCAGATAAAGATATAATACAAAATAATAAATCACCGAACAATGTATTAAATGCAGAATATAATACATTACAATTCAACGAGTAAATATTATGTCAGAATAAAAGAACTCACGATCAGCTAATGAGACTGTCTACCTTGAAAATTCAAAACCTTGAAATATAACCCTCGGCAAGTCACGTGGTTTAAAATGTAACCAAGACTTGAGTAGAAGAGTGGCTCTGTATGTCTCTCTCGTAAGTCTGTAAAAAATATAAATAGGCAGTGAGATAATACTATCGGTAAGATTATGCAAGAAGGGGAAAATACTAATAAACGGTAAAAAAAAAGAAGGAATTATGGCAAACTGAAAAGACGACATACAGGAAAAGAATCACTTTCTGTAACAGGCGAAGCCTCAACCCACAATATCACCGCCAGTTTTACGGACAAAGTTGGAACCGCGACTACCCACAAGGATGAAGTTAACCCGCACAAGCTTCTAAAATTGCTCCACCAACTAACTGTCAAAGCTGCAGCCTTTCACGATGCGTCAGTTCATTCACAGCTTTGTGCGTACTACGACCTTCTACCACCCTGGACCGCCCTCACCCCCGACACCACACAAGCGAGTCATTATCTCTCACGCGAGAGTCCAAGTGTGAACATGCTAAGGAAATCTAAATAATTTATAAACCATTTCAGTATCTTAAATATATAAAAAAAATCTTGTGTAATTCAGTGGTAAAAATAGATGTTTTCGGTGTAACAATCAACATATGCACTCAATAGCACTAATCCAAACTACAAAATATGACTAAATGTTTGTGTCAGTCTTCTACTAAAGAAACCAGATAATCGACTTTCACCCAGTGTTGACGTCGGGGTGCACCACTATGCCCACGCTTCAGAGTGCTAAACGCCCTGCAGGATACTAGTGGCCCTGACCCGTCCACCAACACCACCTAGGTCGTATTCTAGACTCCTACACTCGAGCGACACAAACCTCACCACCACTACCCTACTACTGCACCCACCCGCCACCTACCGTACCGAAAACAAGTTCCTGCTTGGTTCTCACAACCTTGCTCACCCTCAGGCTAAACTTGCTCCACCAGGAATTAAGTTTGCAACACCAACGTGGCCCTAGACAGTTTAGTGCAACACTAGACACTAAGTTCAGTGTGTTTAGGTACAAAGGCCAGTGTGTGTGTGTGTATTGAGTACGTTTCACAGGTAGGCCTTTAAAAGGTGATTCACGCCACGGAACCTTCCCGCAGTAGCAAGGTAGTAACACTGCTGACTGGGGTCATCCTGTAATGTACATTACAGCGTAACTCAACCCTAAGTTGGCAATTATTGGCCATTATTTTCTTGAGTACATTAAAGAGAAGACGAAACTAGTAACCCAGAAGGGAGCCAAGACCCAATATGCGCCCAAGTAATGAAGTTCCCAGAAATTCTAAGGAAACTTAAGGTAGAAGTGTGACGCCTCGTACTGAAAACCCTACTGAAGCACACACCTATTAAGGAGCTAGAGGCGAATCACTAGAATTGGACTACCATGTTGGAAGAGGAATGACGCTATGCAAAGAAGAGGATAACCAAATAAATTTAGATAAAAAGTCATAATAAAATGAAAGCAGAAACAAACTACATATATTGAGAAAAAATCAGATGTACGGTATTTTTAATGTGTGACTATTCCATCCACTGCATGCTCATACAGCCTTGTCAGTTACAGTATCAGCATAACAAAAAGGAGTCATTAATTTATTTTCTCAACGACTTCACGGAGTATTATGGAATAGCGACTGCTACCATATACTGCATCTCTCTTGTAAACTTGGTGGTAAGTCTTGAAGGTTTGGACGGATCTTCCTTAAACTTGCCAACATTAATCCCTTTAAGAGCTTGGGTGGGTTAACCAGAATTTGAGGGCGTTCGGTAATAATATATACGGTAACATGTGCTCGACTACCTGTGAACGCATAAAGGTCGAGTCTAGTAAGCCATAAACTTTTTTTTCCTATTTGAGTCTTCTTTTCTAAAAAAGATAAATGGAGAATATGCATAAATGAACCACATGAGATAATGTATTATTTCACTGAGAACACTTTACGCCTGTTGTTTGTGGGTGAAATAGGTGAAGGTTCTGGATTGTCTATGTGAGTGATCTGCAGCTCGTCTAGCTTGTTTTTATGTAAAGGTCGCAAAGAAAGCCCAAGCCAAAAGAATTTTAGAGGTGATGGGTTGCCAATTACTGAAACACTCATTACAAATCAGTTTCAGAAACCCTAAGTGATATACTGTATATGCATTAGTTCACCCACATAACCGCTAAAACAAATACAACTTTGTCACGATCTAATTTGAGTAGACTCCCACACTGTAACATTTTAATGAAACCCCGAAGCAATTATTATCCATATATAGTATATTCCTGAGCAAGTGTTGCATGAAAAAAAAAAGCTCGCTTGTCAAGTGCATTTGTTTCACCAGTTGGTTCTTCCTGCAGGATGACTACATTGACTAGGTGCCATTAAATGATAATTCACATGAAATTTGATGAGTGTTACATTAATGTAAAGTCACCATTGACATAAACCTTTACTGTATTCTTAGATGCCCACGAGGTCTGGTGACAGTAGCAATGTGAGAAGAAAATTTTCCAAAAAGGTTACCGTATATGATCACAAACAAGTGGTATACTGACAAAGTTTGCACTGCATTACTACCAGAGTTGGCCATATAACTTAATATGACCTATATTTCACCAAAAATATAGGTCACCCATCTACTGCACCCTCGTTGACCATAAATAACTTAGATTCGCAAGAGTAATCTCTCCGGAAATGGACACATGCCTCTCCATCCACTACAGGGGAACCAGGATGAAGATACTATGGCCTTCCCCTCAATAAATTCACAATTATGTTTGGTTGTTAAAATATGTACGGTAAGTGTTTTATTTGGTGCGTGCGTAGGGGCAAGAAGGGGGCGGCATATATCCGTCGAGCAAAATATTTTAGTTTTGGTGAACGTTCACTACAAAAAAATTTCCTATCAGAGAGGGAGCTGCCCTTGAAGCCTTCCTAGTATTTTAGAGGTTGAGTAAGTGAACCATTCGTTAATTCAGCCTAGTAACAGAATACAGAGATCTGGTTACAATGGCTCGTCTCCACCCCCCGAGGTCAGTATATACTCACTGTCTATCAACACTTAATATACTTGAACCTTCATATCTATTAAATACATACATTTCATCTTATATTTTATATTTACATGTTCTTTATAAACTTTGTAAATACAGTGGGGTATGCTATAACGAACGGATCCTTCTACGAATATTCCTATAACGAACGGTTTTACCTATAAAATTGAGAATGCTATAACGAACGAAACTCCTACAACGAACATTATTTAATTTTTTTTTTCTAATTTATTGTTTTTTTATTACAAATATTAATGATATTCTTTATTTCAGGGGTTTAGATGCATATTTATGCACTTTTTTACAATTTTTACAATTTTATATTATATTTTTTAGTGTTAAGTGGTTGTATTTGGGGGCCTGGAACGGATTAATCCTATAACGAACGAATGCTATAACGAACAAGGTTCTAGAACCAATTAGATTCGTTATAGCATACCCCACTGTATACGGTAATTTACCAATGTCGTTTAACATGTTTATGTACGCTATTCTTAAATGAGAACAATTATAATACAATTCAAGTACAGGATTTTACATTTATGCACCAACAATCTACGCATCAGAGGCCAACGTATTGCTTCATCACTATCATTAATCAGTAATGATATCGCAAGGACTAGCTGGGGGATATGTACAGTATTATGTGTTACTGACAATACTGTACTGCATCGACGATCTATTGTCCAATCTCATGGTGGTAGAGGAGGTCTGCAGTGTGCCAGATAACAAACAAGATTTTACTGCCTTTCACTTTACTCGTAATACTGTAAAACAATATTGCTTACCACAAATACTGTACAAGCAGTGAACAACATAATACAGGGAGTAATGATAATGTAGAAGGGTAACCATTTACAGTAGTCGGTAGATGGTCAAAGACATATGTGCTTTTGCAAAGCTTTCTAGATCGCATCTAGGAGGCCTTGGATCTTGGGACGATCTACTGTTACACTATATAACAGGAATCGGATTCGCAAGGGCTCTAAGATTAAATGTACTCGCAATTAAAGTTGTAAGAATGTACTTAACTGGTTCCCCAAACAAATAATATCCAAAAATAGCATAAATAGCATGAACATTAAAATGAGGCTTTAAGAATGTTCATTTTGTACCAACAAGACAAAAATACATATTAGTAAAAATCCATATGTTAACTTTATTTCCTGACAGGTAAGATTATAACATATCTAGCTGAGGTTGTCTAGGTGCAATATTAATTCTATTAATATTTCAGCTTAAGAGACGCTGGTGGGCATACAGTAAAATTGCCAGAAGAGACTTTTTTTTCGTGACAAATGGCTATTCTTCAATTCGAGTGCAATTTATGTTAAAACTGGTGTAAATTATAAAACATTAAAACAACACTCACCATTTCTGGAGACATCCAATTCCACGAGGTTCTCAAAGTTTTGTATGTCTGGAGGAAGCCTCGAAATCTCATTGTCACTGAGGCCTAAACGGCGCAGTTTGTGCAGTCGGAAGAAGTTCTGGGGGTAAAGAGAAATGGGCCTGGGGTTAAATTAAACAGACTACCGCGTGTAACTCCTACACTTAGCTGTCATAACATGCTTCATCTTTGATTTATATTTTATTATACAATACTGTACATTATAGTGCCGGGGAAGGGTGGAGGAGACTTAGCTGGAATTCTTAGCTTTCAATGTAGGTACAGTGGAACCAAGTGTTATAAGTACTGTACGGTAGTAGCCTTACTTTACTTACCAAAACGTCATGTTAAGTCATACAGTACACACAGTATATTACAGGGAATTTGTGTAACCAGTGATTTCACGTAATCCCTGTCTTAAAACAACCAAATTTCACCTAATTTGGGAGTTTAGATATGGTTAGGTTAGCTTATTAATATTCATTTATAGTTTGCATGACATTTATCTACACCATACAAATGGTTAATTTTTTAAAGAAAGTTACTTAGTAGTACTGTAATATGGTACAGTACTTTAATAGCCTTCTGTAAACAGAGGTACAGTACTGTACTGTACCGTGCAGGTTGACGCCTGTGAAATAAATGATCACCGAAAAGAAATTCTGGTAGCTACTAATTATAATAAAGAAAAAAAGTGACATAATAGCAAATTACATGGTGGTAGATGAATAAGACCATAGAGAATCTTGCAATAAATATTTCACCTTCGCCAAAATCTTGCTGACCATTAGGAATTTTCACAGTATAATTTCACAAGTTACTTTGAAGTACCTGGTAACAAGCAAATCTTGTATGGGGTTATCGTTAATACCCGTACTGTATACAGAAAAATACAGTATGTACACCTACGTACATCTATCTCAATTAATAGCATCTTACCTGTAGAAGTACTAGCTATATGTTACAAGTTGGTTGATAAAAAAATTATGGAGAAAATATACTTGATTTGTCATATACAGTATATATTTTGACACTAACCTGAAAATTTATGGAAGAAATGTACAATACAGTACTGTACTTTGGTTATCAAACAGCTCAGTGCAATATCACACAGAAGACTGGCATTAAGAGCATCTACAACTGGCTACCAGTATGGAGGGCTTTCACCTACTCCCTTTCCAGCTTGGTTCTCAATCATGCTATCTCCACTGCTATATGACCAAAGAGGCTATTGGAATTTGTAGTGTACAGGCCTATATACAATATCCAAAACAGTCTGGGTAGCTATCTGGAAAACTCTGGAGAACCTTATCAAGCAAATGGCTTTAGGAAACATTTAAACTGATTTTTTTTGACTGGGCAACAAATTAGGGCTGTTGTACAGTCGGGGTCAAAAGCCTTGAACACTTAGAAATATCTGGCATCTACTTGTGAGTTATACATACCGGTATATGATTGGGATATACTAATAACACTACTTGTCATCACATAATATGCCTGAACCAGAAAATGGGATAAAACTCTCCCTAATACCCAAGATCTTCGGGTACTTACATGCCAAATACTGTCAAGTGTTCAAGACTTTTGACCCAGACAGTACATACAGTACAGTACTATATGTAACCTTATCCTGATAGACTACTTTTAAAAAGAAATGATCTTCTAGGGTCAAACTTTGAACCAACAATAAATTCTCTATTTCTCAAAGCAAAATATATATACAGTACTGTACATAAGGTATATGCATAAGCATCAGTAATCCCAGAATGAATAATTCATACTGCTTGAAATACAAGAATTGAAAGTGAATACCTATAGGTTATAAAAAAAAATAAATAAAAAATCTAAACTCAACCTAGTGCTTGCTCCATCGAGAAAGGGACCAACAAATACAGAACCAGTTTTCCTTCAAAACAAGAAGCCTTCACATCCTTCTTCCAAATACATAGTACACTACAAAGTTTCCAGTAGAAATTAGGAACTTGAAAATCAGATCCATGAACCTCACTCCAGCTTAATCCAAACTATTAAGATAAAAAAATAAAATAAAAAATACTTCAAGAAGGCTCATACTGTACTGCTTTAAACACGTCTCCCAAAAGCTTAAAAAAGTGAATTTTGTGAATCAGACAAAAACTAACAGGAAATTACCACTCCTTATCATTTTTCAATTCAGAGTTTCCAGACAATAGCTATACTGGGTCCTGAAACCAGGTGTTTCATCCCCCTTAGACTTGTCAGATTATGAAGTCTTCCAAGGGCCAAGGGTCAAGTCAAAAACAGTACAGTACTGTATTTATATCTGAAGACTTACTGACCAGTTTCAAAATACATTACTGCATACCTGTACTGTAATACTGTACAGCAATACTAAGCATGGACCTTCCAAGGCTTTTCTGTTTTACATCACCAATTACTACAGGACTGTACTGTCAAAATCACTATACGGTATTAATGCAACCAGCCATACTGATCAACTCAAGACGTCCAGCTTTCATGGTTTTCCAGAGAGACACATCAATTCAATCTATAGCTACAGTAGCTACAACAATGCAAAAACTGGGCTTTAGCTTATACTGCACTGCACTTCCATGAGACACAATTTAGATGAGATTACACTGATGGACTGTGTGGAATTGACAAATTTGTAAGTTTAATAGCTATTCCTGCATTATATTATGACCGTATAATTAGGATTACTTTCCTTTTGGAATGCTATGTAACATTAGTAGTTTGAGCATTTAATCAACCCCATCCCTTTTCCTAGCTGGTCTCAGGGGAGTTGCCTAATAAAGGATGGCAGCCAACAATCAATACATGATTGTGAAATCTTATTTTATGGCTAAGTCTGAAACTAAGCAGCTCAGAAATTCTTTCTCCTCCCAAATGAGAAACTAACTAGAACTGAATAATGATTCCTGCCGAAAATCAATATGGATGATACAAAAAGAATAGTGATGTGTACAGTAGCTAGTGTGATGTCACATGCTTGTTCAGGATTTTCAATGTCTGTGCGGGGAAATCTTTTCTTCTACCCTCCTTTCTCAAAAGGTGATAATTGTAATGAGGAGGTACTGTATAAGAAGCATTTTGATTAGTCTCTGCCATTAATATAAGGTCACTTGGGTGGTTTAATGTGTAGCTACATTATACTCAAGCTGCCTACAACTGGTTTCAGCCATAAAATTGGATTCCAAGATCAATCTTTCACTTCTATTCTAAAAGGATAATGAAGCAAAAATAGATAAAAAGAGGGGGGGGGGTGACTCATGAGTTTTATACTGTATAGCCATAAGCCCTAGGTTGTGGGACTGGGTTTAACCCATCTGTTAAATTCCAAAAAACATTAACATTTTACTTAAAAAATTAAAATGGTGGATTTGTTTCATAAGTGATTGTAAACTGAAAATATTGTAAAGTGGACGTAACACTAAACTATTTCACTGTCCGTTCTAATACAATATTAACATCACTTTTGGGTTAGGTAGAGCATAAATGTTGGTGGGTTAGCCCGCAGAAAAATACCTAAGTGATAATGCGGCCCATGATTGAGGAAAGGTTGCCCATGCCTGCTGTACACTGTATAACATAGCGCTAGTGCCTCAACCAAAAGGAATTTATCCACCTATGAGACACCTAATCCCCCATGTTAAAATCCCTTAGCAGTCCTTAAAAAAGAAGGCAAATAAAATAAATAAAAATAACTATTTAAACAATAACAACACTATGCGGTACTAATAATCATAGTACAGTACAGTAGTACATTGTAATAGCCAGAAGACTCAAATTTTATAAAAATGAGAGACAAGACATGATACCATTACTCTTCCAACTTGTTGACCATCAGAAACTCACAAGTGACAAATGCCCAAGATTAGGGAACCATAGGAACCCAGTATTGCCCTGAAAAGACTAGCTATTGTAGTAATAAAACCAAGAAACTTAATTTTCTTAACCATGCAACACTATTTATGAATGGATAGGAAAAGGTAGATCTGATTCCACTGTAATCAATCTAAGGAAAAGGTGTCAACCTAAAATGACCCTTCCTGAAAAATAGATTAAGGAATAAAAACCAAATATGATGCCATTTACCACTGTACAGTACTGCACAAAGATTGATAGTGGCTAAACATCCAGAGAAGGATTCCAATTGAAAGTCTTTATCCAGCAACCTCTCTGATGGTATCGCCCTATTCTTCAATAAAGTACAGGTACTCCTCTACTTACAACCACCTGGAGATACGACCGCCGCAGTCTTATAAAATATTTTTCAAATTACGTATTTTTGAGTCACAACGTTAGTGATCGTGCTGTGTTGACAAAATTTTCGTTTGTAATTCCCTTTAAAATGGCTGGCATGCGTAAAAGTGAGAGTTCTTGTGGTGCTGAGAAGAAAAAGAGACACCTATTTTAGATTTTTTATGTATTATTTTCGCATTTTCGACTTACGACCCGGTCGTCGGTCCCTAACCCCGTCGTAAGTCGTGGACTGACTGTACTGAATATCATCTGCCCAAACATGCACCATCCCCACATAGTGCATGGTTACAATGAAACAGAAAAGTTTGTACAGTACCATACCATACAGTTATTAACCTTAAACGTTTATCTTTAACTTCCCATAGCTACTAGAAGCAATTTAGAAAAACATCCTCCCTTTTAGCTAAACACCTCTGATTCTACAGATCAAGGCAACCAATACCTTAATCTAAAGGTAGTAAGTAGTAGGCAGCTACCGTACAGGGAGGTACTACTGCCTGGGGGAGATATTGGAAGTATAATGTGTTGTCTAATGGTAGACCCTGCTGCCATATGGCATCACAAAAACTGTGACCAAGTCCCAGGTTGCTCATCTGACTTTCTGCCTCATTTACACACAATTGCAGGGTCTCAATTGTTTCTCTTACTTTGACAACACAACACACATACAGCATATCGTTTCTCACTACTGATTTTTTTTAGTTTTGTATTTCTTTATACAATATATATATATACACAGTATTTTTTTTACGCCTTCTGAGCGATTAAGGGATAATCAGATCCATCATGTTGAACTCGAACGTTATAATTCGGTCAGAACCTGTTGAATACAATTGATTCTTAGTATTTCAAATAATAAATCATACAGAAATGTTTAATCCAATATATGTTCACATAACAATCATAGCTATGTACTTAGTCCAAACTTAACATCTATAACTGCTTGCGCTTGTTTGAAATAAGTGTTTTCCTGTCGCTGGTACCTTTGATGCAGCCGAGTGAGATATCGGGTAAACCTACGGCTTGTCACCTTTGATACAGTCGTAGATTGGTTGATAGTTGGAAGCGTCACAGCTGTCCAGTGCTGTACTTGTACAGTAATTATCATAGCTTGTAAGTTACACAAAACACATGTAGTTTTCAATTTACTTGTTGTTTCTTGGTTTAATATAAACACACGTGGTAATTTTCTATTTATATTGGGTAGTAGTGTCTGTGCAATTATTTGGTACAGTATTGTCAGACTAATGAGCATCAGCTGTTAACTTGTAATTAGCTGAGAGAGCTTGTCCCAGAGAGCTGGTCTCGGGACACGTTTTTAGGGTATCGTGTAGGGGTATGAACTGGTGGTGAATTGGTAGTTGGAGGGTAACCACATTTCAACAAGGCCATTAACGAAACAGCTGACAAACACACTGAGGGTTGAGTGTGAAGTTTATGGCCCGTCAAGTCAAGATGGTGTGATATAACAAATGCTTATTCTAACGTAGATGCTCATTACTCGGGTGATAGAATGTATATAATGAATATATGTTATTAGCCCATATTTAAATACTACTACAGAGGCTAATACAAGACTAATTGTCAGGCATAACATTTAAATAAAGGGTAAATATTTGTCCATTGGCTGTCCTCAGATTTTGGTATGAGAATATTTGTGTGTGTGTGTGTTTTACTCAAATGTGACCTTCATTTCTTGCGTAACTTAGTGGCTTTTGCAAAAAATTTACATTTTAATTTTCAACAGAAACTGCTAATTTGCACAAAAAAGGAGGTCAAATCGGAGTAAAACACACACACACAAAAATAAAACTATTCCCATAACAAAGGAATCAGCCTACCTAACCTAACCTACAAGGAGGAGGAGGCAAGTGACTTTAAGTGAGGAGTACAGCCTCAGGTGAACATGACGGGAACCTGTGGACAGCCAATGGACGAATATTAACCAAACAAAATAATTATTTTCTAGTTACAAGAAAATCCAGAGAGCAGACCATCTTCAACATAAGCCCTGTGCACTAAATTGCTGTACTGTATACAGTATCCCGGTATACAGGTTGGACCCCGCTAATCCAGAACCCGATAATCCGGCAGTTTTGATGGTTAAAAACGGTGTCATAGCTCACTTCTAGTGGCTGTCGCCACTATTTTACCTATAAATACTTATAATTTACCCCAAAATAAGGCTCCTAAGAGAGCCAGCAAACAGTGGAAGTGGTTGTAATGGGGTGAAACATAAGCATGTGACATTAACTATTTTAGAAAAAATTCTATACTGAAGAAATTTGAGTAATTTATACTGTCGTACATTTATGCATTATTTTTAACTTTGGCTTTGATGGTTCAAAATTTTCGCTAGTCTGGAACTGGTCTGGTACCAAGCTTCTCGGATTAGCGAGGTCCAACCTGTACTTGTACCATTATCAGATCCATAAACGTACAAGCTACAAATGTTCAACAAACAAAACCCCCCAAAATGCTAAAGTTCAATTCCAGAACTCTGAAAGCTTATTAGAATACAATATTACATGAAACTTATAAAATAAAAAAGTTGTTCAGATTTCAAAAGTTGAAACACTGACTGAGGAAATATTGGATGAAAATGAACAACCATGTTTCTCTATGACACTTTCAATGTGCCCTCGGAACTCTAGTGATTTAAAAAACACCATCTATCTATATCAACCTCTGATATTAGAACGAATGAAATAAATTAAGCATTAAGTGCTTCAAAACTTGAATATATACTGGTACAGAACCAGTATCACTCAGCAGTCCATTCCTCCTACAATCACACATAGTTCAGTGAGTTTTTTAATCACTGGATTGCCAAAGGCCTGTAGGCTGGGACACAGAAAGAAAATTTCTAATTAGTATTTTATACTTCAGAATATAGTAGAGCAATTTGGGATATTGTACTTTAATTGGTGGCACAAATTTAAAAACTATACCTGTTTGTCTGAATAATTTATAACCTGTTATGGTTTTTGAAGAATACGTACTTATAAATTTTACCCTCGACTATGAGGGAAAACACTCTGCAATGGTAAACATACCACAATGGCACCGAACAAATTTCCCAATTACTCTACAGTACATATTCAGTACCGGGTATACAATCAGTTCAGTTATTCTCAGTAATTTAAACCTAGTTTGTAGTATATTACAATATAATATTTGTATTAGGATTTTATATTCATTATCAAAAACCCATATGAACTTGAGAACTACTCACGGTGGCCGAAATAGCCAAAAGGCAATGACCAGCAAATCCAATAATAAAGATAAAAAGGCTTATAGGGTTGGGGGACATCTATCACTATTCCACTATACCACACTGCATAAAATTTATTTTTGCTTAAATTTTGAGTCAATTTATGATAATAGCCAGGTTTCGATTTTTCCAGAAAAATGTTTTTCCTATGGTTTTTGTTGATTCAAACGAATCTGACCTTCGTTTCTGGTGTTAACTGCCCTAACCTAACCAAAACCTGGCTACTGTCCTAAATTGACCAAATTATGTCTGTGTCAATGTATTTCCACTCCAAAAACATCTGAAGGACTTGTTTTAAAAGATAGGCATAGGATATGGGTATGGCAGCCGCATACAAAACGTCGATGTTTATTGGGAAGGCAGCCTAATGCACATGCATGGTGGGCAGACTGAACAATGAAAGTCACTATGACCTTCCTGACTAACCTAACCATACGAGTAACAACACGGTCCGTCAATATGTTGCCCTACCTATATCCAGTGTGATTTTTAGCGTATGGCTGCAGTACCTAAAACCACTACATAAAAGATACCGTAAGCTTCTTGTAAATTCATGATTAAGCTAGCTGAGCTCTTCAGGCAGTTTACCACAGCACGTTCAGTGGATGTGTTTTCAACAATTACTCTGTTTTCCTTTCTTCTTTAATATTCATATGCATTTCATATCATTAGCACCTGTGGGGTCACCTTAGTGTCTGAGTTCGAGGAAATGGCAGTGGTAAAGATTTGGTAGAGGACATAAACAGGAATCACCACACACAACTGAGAAACATGAGTAATAGTACCTTCTACCATGGTAGAAATTAACAACCCCATATCACTTGAAAGAGAAGTGATGAGCACCAAAACCAAGTTTGAAAGTATCTTAGGAGACTTCTAACTTTTACATGCACACAAAGACTCTCAATGGTCACCATATAAACCTTACACTCCATATAACAAAGTAGCCCATCCCCCACCTCCAAGACACTGACACACTTCATGATCCACTGTTTACACTGTTTAAATCCTAGATATTTTTCAGGGATTCAGAAAGCAAATAACGCAGGTCAGTGTCATACTTGTAAAATTAACAACCCTCGGAGCTGTCCTAGCCCTAACTGCAAGGTAGAGAAGTGCTTCAAATTCATCACAAGTTTCAAAACCAGTTTAAAGACTAAGCCCAAGAACTTGCATGTATACCTCCAGTGACTAATACCCATTTCTCCCTTTAGCTTGCCAAATCTCCCGTAACTGGGAAAATTTCTGATGGCTGTCAAATATACAAAAACAACTTTTGGTCGGTCAGTAGCATCAACAGTGAATAAAAGGGGGAGGCTAGACGAGCCTGGCTGGGTCAGCGAGTCCGGGGTCTGGAAGGTGGACCTGGAGCGAGCGAGCGTGAGGCCAGCCTGACTCCTGCCGTGGCCTTCTGTGCCCAATACTCCCTGCCACGATTATCAAACCTTGTGCGAAGGGTTACTCACCTTTGGGAGGTCGCGAATATGGTTGGCGTCGAGTAACACCTCCTCCAGACTACGGGCGTAACGCATTATGTCGTCAGGAACACTGCCCAGCGAGCAGTGCCGCTTATCCACATACTCCACATGCCTGTTACACCCCTTAAAGAGGGGGATACACCGAAACATGATTGCTATTCGTGTTAAACACCACTCATAATCAACATAGCCCTAATGGGCACACTAAAACACAGCGGATCACCCTTTAAAATGATGCCGGACAAAGGCACAGCCTCCCACAGTAACGGCAATGTACTGACTGAGACGTGACGTCACCAGCGCGCCATCTGTTGACAACCTCGCGAACCAAAGACTGTCATCCAATAATCTGTCATCAAATTTGAATCTAATATATATTATACACTGTGTGAAATTTTTATATTAAAATAAAAGGAGAAAAAATATATTTACGATACACAGCGATATAATCAAGAAGGAATGGTAAATCCGTTTTAATTATATCTGCTATTGTTACCCGGGAAATTTAAAAACTGGAACCAACGCCCTTTATATTGACTGGTGCTTGAATAATTAAGATTTTTCGTATCTATTTGTATATTTACCTTATCTATCTTCTCATCTATCTTGTACGTTGGTTTAGATAACTGGTTCTCATCCTTTATCAACCTTTCATCCATTTGCTGCCTTCTTCAGGTCTACGTTACCCACCGCCGCGCTGATCCAGCCAGGTTTAATAGTATGATGTTAGACCAGGAACCGATTTTCCCTGTTCCTGTGCTTAGCAATAGGAAATTGTCCTTTTCAGCCTTCACTATACATTTAAAATCATTAGAAACCTTCATTCGTCGCCTTATCAAGTTTAGCTGATTGGGAAATTGGGGATTTGTGTGAAAATTACTTAATTATGTACGATAGTTTTGCTGAACATTTCATTACCCAAGGAAATTATCAACCTATTGATTGAGAATCACTGCTTTACAGGCCCGTCCTTTAGGGGGGGCGAACAGGGGCGACCGCCCAGGGCCCCGCGCGTGTGGGGGCCCCGCGCTAGACCCAGTGACCTCGGATACATTACCTGTTGACTGGTTAATCTGATCGGACGGCTTACGCCACCATCGCAACCGTGGCCTTACCATCCATAGCGACAGTCCCATGGGGGTTGGTGGGGGTGGGTTCCGCTGACAGCATAATCTGACTCCATAATCCATTGCACTCCACTCCACACAGCCAGTCCACCAGGGTCAGTAACCAGTGAGATCAGGTTGTGTCCTGTCCTGTGACTCCTGCCTTTTGAGTTTTGTGGATATACTTTTTTTTGTGTAAGAAACATGGCAAGCAGAGACAGATACATATTTTTTTTCTGGGGACAGCCCTGCTGCTTTAGATACTGCACTCAAGATCATTCTTTATTTCAACATACTAGATATGGGATAATTTCGGTTCCTTTGCTCCCTTTGATTACTGGCTCAGTAATCATATAATGGTAGCATTCTTGTAGTACCTTACGAACAACATGATGTGATTTACGTTCCGATTCATCATAAATTCATAACTGTCAATTTTCAAATTGTTTTGAATAACTTGGATATTTCATTTTACTATTGCCGTAACCCATAAAAATAATTTATTTCAGTGGGAATTAATTGGAAATAAGTTATAATGTACTGAAGGTTTACTATATTTGTCTAACAAAAATCTTATCCTAATGCCTCATTAATTATCGAACCTTTCTTCTGTTTCACAGTTTCGTAGACTACTTTAACCCACAGTATATGATATTAGTATAACGTTATTAACAGTGTCATTTGCTTACCCTAGCATTTTTTTTATTGCACGCCACTGGTAAAAACAGTGGTAAACAGAAAGTCGATTAGACGAAGAATAGCCCAACAAGGCCACCAAGACAGTAGTTTGACCTGCCTACTTCCCACGGTTGACGTTATTCCAGCTTTAATTTTACTTTTTAATTTTATCCCTTTTACCACTGATCGGCTTGCCCGGGCGGTCTGTCACATTTCTGATATGCACTGTTGGCAGATACTGGGCATGCATTGGCTCCTACCCCAGTGTTGGTCAAATCTTGAAAGAGCTCTTAAAGTGTCGTCACAACGCTCTCTGGCAGGTTGTTCCAAGAGTTCACAATTCACACTCCGACAAAAATTGCCCTCACAACGGCGTTTGTAGGGGAGGAATCCACTACAAACGTACCACAACCCAAGTATTTTCAAAGTCTAATTAAACAAAGTCAACCCACTTCGAGTCGAAAATTCGTGTTTTGTTGCGCATGACGTCATACGGTCGGCGGCCCAAGAGTGGGGGGGGGGGACCTCAGTTAGCAGCTGGCCATCACATCGTGGTGTGAAAGTCTATGACAATGCCTCATAAATGCTCCGTATTTGGGTGCATGTCAAATTACAGAGTATATGATAATAGTTTGATATTTCCACAATTTCCAAAGGACGAAAAACAGAGAAAAAGTGGATTCTATTATGCATGCAGCAAATATATAGAATGCAACACAGTGACGGATTAAGCTTAATAGGGGCCTGAGGTACAGATCAACTTGGGGCCCCCAACCCTCAAGGTGTATATATATATATATATATATATATATATATATATATATATATATATATATATATATATATATATATATATATATATATATATATATATATATATATATATATATATATATATAGCAAGAACAAATATACCAAAATTTATCAATGATTTCATCAATATTAAGCTTCTGCTAAATAATACATTCAATGTTCATAAGAGACAGAAAATTGAGACGTTGCTAGGACATCGTTGAACGAAGTTCATGTTTAATATGATTCAACTTCGAGAATGTTTGGATTTGGGGCCCCTTAGAGTCGGGGGCCTGAGGCCAGTGCCTCATGGTTAATCCGGCCCTGGTGCAACAGAAGGGCAATACTTGAGAGCCGTTGGCAGGTTTAAATTTACTTTCCCTAAAGTCTAACTTTCGACCCGGAAACCGGATGTGGAGAGACAAGTACCTACAGTATTTGTTGCTTGAAACTGTTGTATAGCCTAGTCATCTGTAATATACAGTATATAGTGGCCATATTGATAAATTGAAAACCTCTACACTTATATACAGTACTTGTATTCACTGATTTACTGTAATAGCTTGAGGAGAGAGAATGATGATATTTATAATCATTAATAATTTTTATTATTTTCTTTGAGTATTTTATTTAATTCTTGTATTCCTTCTGCCCCCCCCCCCCAAGTAAATAGGTAGCCCATATGCCTATAATTACTTAATTTCTTTTACACTGATACTGGCAGCAAAATCATAAGAGTATAAATAATAATAAAGAGGGGAAGAAGAGGATTGTTAATAATATATTTTTAATAATTACAATAGGAATATAATAAAACTAATGATTACATGAGAAGTTGAAGTGGACTAACTCAAAGATGGTGTGCTAGTGGATGAGAAAATCAGGAAATATGGCAAGAATATCTTATAATACAGTGGGGTGGTATCACCCGGTAAAATACGAGTCCTCCCTTATTACCTTTTTCTTTGACTGTGGCCTTATGACGTCATAACTAGCTCCGCCTTCTCCGCGTGGGTTGACTTGGTTTAATTAGACTTTGAGTATTGTATCCTTGCCACAGCCTGGGAGTGTGTGAGGGCTTGGGTATGAGATATGGCATCGCAGCACCATAGTCAGGGCTGAATGAATGGGCGTGAAACAGTGGAATTACCCTGTTTGAAATAGAATATAAACAATAAAGGAATCAAACAGGTAACCAAACTCTGTAATAAGTGATATGCAGCAATGTTGAGTAGCTACGACCGAGCGACTAGGACTGAACTATAGGAATCGACAAACTGGGTAATTCACAATTTCGCACCCATGACTAAGGTACTGCCATGCCACACGTCGTAAATTTGCCCGACACACACTTAGGCAGTAGTACGTCCATGTATGTAAAGTCAACTGTATGCATGCATTCTGTGTGTTTATCCAGTTGAAAGTCAGTACACTAGATGATCTCTGGGCGTAAAAGCAAGAGCAGAAAACCAATGACTATTACTCTTACTGAGAAATGCTTATATTCAACACCGACCATGGGATATTTCAAACATGATTCACATACATTCATATTTGTTAGATTTAACACTTGTGCCCATCACATCAAAATCTGAGTCCTAGGGGACCACCAACACCATCCCAGGCAGTAATTATTGAGACCAATTTATAATAGTTTGGTTATGTTCAAGGTTTACGACCATGTATTAGTCTTTATCAATTCGGTTACTTTAGATTTAAATTACAGTAACCCTTAAATTTTGAATTTAGAAAAAAAATAATTATTTATTGAACTATAAATTGTTAATTGTTCTTCCATTTAATCTTTTACAGATTTTTTGCTATATTGGTGAACTTTGCAATAAATTTGTATTTTTCTCTCGAATCTATATAGCTGCAGTTATGTGCAATCTTTTCTCTCCCGAATATATTAAAAATTTCTTTCTTAAAAGTATTGTAGTGGCTACTCTCCCGTACAACTGCCACTGCCGTTTGTGGCTGACCAGCCGATCCCTTTTCGAGTTCCCAGCCAAAGCCTGTGGTCTGACAGAGCGGGGCCGGCTATCAGCGACGTTTACTTCCGGTGGACCTCCTATATAAAGCTCCCAGCCTTGCCGTGAAAGCCCTTCAACCTAGCGCCCCCACAACACGCAACACCACCTCTCGGCAAACTCCTCACCACACAGCAACTCCTTAGCACTGCACTGTACTTACAATATATATATATATAATATATATATATATATATATATATATATATATATATATATATATATATATATATATATATATATATATATATATATATATATATATATATGTATATATATAGTTGTACCCTTAACGCGGTCAATTGAACCCACAGGGTACCACGTTATGAAAACCGTTAAGTGAACAACAGAACATATGGGATTAATTCCAATAGAGACTGGCCCGACCCCCAAACTCCACTTTTTGACTTCACACAACTATGTTGTAGTAAAAATATTATCTTAACTTTATGATGGTATGCACACACAATTAATAATTAAGAGAATATCAATAATATTAGGTTTTTTAACACTTACATTAGTAGAAAAGATGGCTGGGCACACGGGGATGGGGGGTTGGTTCCAAGGCAGAGGGCAGATTATTGGCCCTCACCTGTATCACTTGTATCAATTGTATCACTATCCACCACAGAGGCTTGCAGGGCCTCTTTGTCAAACCCCTCAAAGTCCATATAAGTCCAT